ACCGGGGGCTGAGGAGGAAGAGGAGGAAGAGGAGGAGGGCCGGGCTTCACTGGAGGTAAAGGTGGAGGACCCGGTTTGGCTCCTTTGAACTGAAAAGCAAAACAAGATGGATTTGACACATCTGATCACAATCAGAGGACCTGATTGGTTCCTGGAAGTAGCACACATTGGATTTCTTTACTTTATTTCTTTACGGTTCTTACTGACCTGGGTTTTACTCAGAGGTGGTAATGGCTTGGCTGGAGGTTCAGGTTTGGTCTGTGGGGAAAAGCAACAAGACGTTTGTGTAATTCTTCACTTTCCACTCAGACTTCTAGATATACTTAACCCTGTAATGCCAAATGTATCATATTTGACACCTTTTGCATAATTTAATGGTAAAAACTTGGCTCTAAATCCTATTTTACACAATCAGATACACCTGATAACAGGGGGCAGAAGACTACACAAAAATAATCTGGATTTATTGCATAGTAATCAATTATTAATATTAAAAATGTATTTCTGTTTTTCCTTTTTACATATTTTGTTAAAAGGCAATATAAGGAATACAAACCGAAAAAAAGTAATTTTCTGTTTTGTTTTATTCTTGGATCAGGCTTTAAAAGGTTAATGATGTTTAGTCTTTTCTCCTGTCTGTTGAAAACCTCTTTACGGTACACAAACGGCTGAAACAGAAGGAAACACCTCGACAGACCAAACCAGAACTAAAGCTCTGTCTCAGAGGGGATTGGAAAGCTGCACACGCTTATTCCAAATGCTTTATCAACTCATTAAATCCTTAACTCATTGGCTGCCAAAGACATCTATAGATGTTTTTCAACGCGAGTGGCTGGGGGACGATCTGCTAAAGCTTGTCCGTAAATATCAGGCTTCTAGACAGAGTATGTAGTAACAAATTGACCCTCTAGGAGGCAGTGCCACTTTTGATGGGAGATGAGCATAGACTGTAGGCAAATAAGAAAAAGGGAACGGTTCTATGAGAGAACATGTCGCCGGTGAGACGCAAGTCCAGGAAGAACGGAATAAGGTAGAAACT